ATCATATATATTGTCTATTTTCACTCGTATTTTTTCACTTGTAAGTTGACTTGTCTATGTTTACTATACTTATATAATGTATACTTGTTTGAGCTATACTTGTTGTGTGTTTGTTTTCCACATTTGTTATGTATTTATTTTTGTTGTGTTCAAGTGTGCGATATATATGTTGTGTTTTTTTTCTCAAGTGTGGTTGTATTTAATTATTTTTCGTTTACGTTTGCTCAAGTGTTGCCTAGGTTATCAGTAGATGTCAGTGAACGAAGAAACATGGATGAGCATATGTACGTAAATAAAGGCGTTGAGCTAACGACGTAAAACAAGCACTTTTTGGGAGGCACCCCTACGGTTTTTAATTATGTATATTTTTTAGCTGAAATGTGTAGGTGTTAGTGGAGGCTAGGAATGAGAAGTCAGAGGTTGTTTTAACTTTTCTGCTTTTTCCTGCTACCGCTTATCACAGTTTGTTCGGTGCAAGTGAAAATTTTTGTTTACTCGACCATTTTTTCCCACTTCCACCAAGGCTTTGTAGATTAGTAAATAGTATTAGTATTACTTATTCTTTTGTTTGTTGTTTGGACTCCAATTTTGGCCCGTTAACTTGAATAATTTTGAGGTGATTTTCCATGTTTGATCGTTTCAACTTGCGGATGTATGGTAATGATAGTTTTGAAGTTGGTATCATCAAAGGTACTAGTTTATCACTTTCTATATAATAAAATTATTAGCAAACTTGTAATTTATACAATTATCACACCATTCATTCTTTTTCATTACTTGTTTTTTATTGAATCACTTTAGTTCCCAAACCCCAAATGTGACGAAGCTTTCCATTGTTGATATATGTTGGAGACTAACATTCTTGTTTTAACTAGATTTTATTATGTTTAATATTTAATTTATGTTGATTGTATGAAAGTATGAAAATGATCAAGGCATTTTTGTTTCATTTTGAGCACAACTACTTGGTCAAATAGTCCATTCACCATGTGAGTGTGTGAGCATTTGTTAATCCCTTTGGACCTTTTTGTCATTATCCATGTTGCATTTGAACTTGATACTTGTCTATGAGTATTTAGTTCAATTATTTTAAATGGATTTTGATCTTATGTTTCGTGAACCCTCAACCATGATTTATGATTTGATTTTTTACTTTGCCTTAGAAAGTATGGAGTATTCACACTTTGATGTTTAGTTGAATTCAAGTTGTGGAGAGAATGATTGCTCGCTTATTGGTTAGTTACTATGAGGTTGAGAAAAAGAACAAGAAAAATAGTTGAAAAAGATAAAGAAAGAAAGAAAATGAAAAATATTTTAAAAATAAAAGAAAAGTAGCAAATAATGTTTTACTAATAAGTATTGTGTTTGGTGTAACACTTGGGAAAGTAGAAGATGTTTTATTGAATTTTGGCGCTTGAGCCTTTATGATGTGATCACTCCATTAGATTTATGCAAGTATTTGTTGTAGTTACCTTTAGATATTGCCTCTTGTTTTTTAACCAATTCATATTGCAACCTTGAAAAGCTCTTGTGATTCTTTCTTTTATGTTTTCAATATGAGTTTTTAGATGAATGCATAATTTAGTCTTTTGTTTGCAAGATTAATGGATGAGTGTCAAGTCCCTCACTTTTGTGTGTTTGTCATCCCTTGATGATTTTTGTTAGGTGTGATTCATGATTGAGAATGTATTGTATTAGATTCTTTGATATGATTTTTTATACTTAGGATTCGTTTCGTTTTCATGTTGTCGTTGTATGATTGTGATAAGTTTTTCCTTGCTTATACACTTTTATTATGAACCATACATTTATTTTTCTTTTTCAAAACTTGTTGATTCACGACTCTTGGGTTGATTACTTTTGTTTTTATAAGTTGATTGATTCTTGTTTGAGGACAAACAAGTCTAAGTTGGGGAAAGTTTAATAAGTACAAATTATAATTATTTTTGTATATAAGTTTTGTTGCACTTATCAACTCTTTTTGTTAATATTTTTTGAATAAACCCCATTTTGTTTGTAAATACATTTACTTTGCGTATAATGGTATTTTATGTAATTAATCTATCGTTTGATAGTTTTTCATTCATTTTGTAGGTATTGGTGTATGTTTGGAGAATTAAGAAATAAAGTATCAAAGACACAACTCCAAATATGCATTTTAAAGGAAAATAAGCTTGTAGCACTCTTAAACCATATTGTAGCGCGCTACCATAAGTTTTGAGCAAAATGGTTGAGGCTATTTTTCTGAGCCCGCTTAGCCAGCTCAGCCCGCTTAGCGGGGTTAAGGCGATTTAACGTATATTTTAGGTGTTAGCCCGCTTAGCGAGTATGTTGTTTTCACTTTTTTATAAATAGAAATTTCCATAGCCTTTAGGAGATGTTTTGGGAATATTTTACCCCGATTCATTACCTCTCATTCTTTGGTAAAGTTTAGTAAGAAAACAACAATGAAGCTTGTATGTGGATGATCCATAGGTAGATTTCTCATCAATCGGTGTTGACAACCCGTGAGATGATTGGTTTTCTTCATTTATTCTCTATGTATTTCTCTATTTGTTGAGTTTTATTTGTACTTTTACTCTGAATATATGTATATTTATCACTCATGGCGTTGTATAAAACTTGCCTTACAAATCAATCTTGTTGCTTTCCTTGATCTTTTTGCATTTATGTTTGGATTTGTGTTGTTGTAGAGATAGGTCTTACCAATCTTGATTAGGGAAGGGAATTTGTTAGTTTCTAGATTCTAGAGATACATTTAGAGATAATACTTACTTACGTATCGAAGCTTAATGCTTTCATGCTGTTGTTTCGTGTGAGACACCGTCTATGCGAGAATACGAGTTTTCTCGCAATTTTGCGTTAGACATAACCAGAGTTGTGATACATCTCGTAGGTGTTGCGAAAATAGACACTAGTGTGAGAGATACATGATGATTTTGACGAGTATTATAGGTTGAGTACAACTAATCGATAGGTTTAAGTTTGTGACTAGTAGTTTAAATTCATGTCTGAAAAGTGTCTCCTCTCTGAAGATTGTATTTATTTTATATTTATATGTTTCTCCTCTATTGAATGACATTTTTTCCCTTGAACTGATCCCTGTGGAGACGATAAAACCTAAAATACTTCGAATATTTTGTTTACCGCTTTACTACGTCAGAACCAAGCCGTTTCTTTTTCAGCATACAATCCTCTATAACAATAAACACTTCATATGTTTACATAATAAAGTTGATATTAGTATTAAGACGAAAAATAAATGGTTATCTATGCTTGTAAAAAAAAATTATAAATTTATAATATATATCGTAATATCGATCTATAATTTATCTTTAAATTCATTGTCAATGTCGTGCAAATATCTATCAAAATATTGACTTTACTTCCAACTTTTACTACCACGTAACTCTTAAAGTTAATAGCATGTTCACCATAAGTCTTACTAGTTCTTTGAAAAAAATTAATCGGGAAACAAACACCAATTTTGTGGACTTTTGTCAACTTGGTCAAAATCGGGGCACCTATAGTTTTTCTCAAACTTTTAGTATTAATAGATGTTGTAGAAGAGCTTGTATGAGAGATGTTGGTCGAATCACTTATGTCTGTGTAAATTAAGAACATACATTCAACATATTCTCAAACTAATACTATTCATGAAAAACAACATTTAAAAAAAAGACGTTTCTATGAACATTTTAGTGGTCAGTAGGTAACACTATTTACTTAAACTAACACTATTCAAGAAAAACAACATTGTTATCAAGTTTTCAGTGGTCAATGACACCATTCTCTCAAACTAACACTATTTAATATAAATAGCATTTATATCAACATCTCAGTGGTAAGTGGCATCATTTTCTCAAACTAACACAAGATACAATGAGATATGTACCGAAGATGATGGAATTTAAGTTTCAATGAAGATGAAAATATCCTAGGATTTTTTAAGCGAATGACGATGAAACAAGAAGTGTTGACAGATAAATGAAAAGTTAGAGTTTAGTTTTGTGAAGTATTCATTGAAAAGAACATATAGGTGGAGTTTTGGGCAAAACCGAAGGAATAGATTAATTTAAAATTAAAAATATAGAAAATTTGATATTCTGGATAATTTATGTAAAAGAACTTACACGTCAGTGTTTGAGAATAACTGAGAGAATTAATTAATTAAAAATAAAAATAAAAATATAAAAGTGTTGTATCTTAAGAAATCCATGCAAAGGATAGTACCCCTCGACTGAGAAAAGTAACCAAGGGATTTAACCAATTTAAAAAAAATAGAAAAAAGATATTTGAAAATATTAATTTCGTAATTCAAAATAAATAAATAAAAGGGAAAAGGAAAATGCACCATCTGAGAATAGTAATGCTTGAAGAAGAAAAAAACAAAAAAAAATACAGTATCTTGGATTTGAAACGAGACCCCTGATAGATATATTCCCTTGACTTTGGGAATAACCGAGTGTATAGGTTGTATATATTTTTAAAAAAAATTATTTATGACGCTCCTAGAACATATACCTCAGTTATTATTTGATCGAGTTAAAAATTTTATCATAAAATATATTATTTATAGTAGTGAATAAATCGTTCATAAATATTTATCATGCTTAGAAGAATACCAACTGATTTATGTTTAAATGCAATTATTATTGTAAGTTTAATTATATAGAATCTAAGGTTGGGTATCAAAATTTTAAAATAAAACAAAAAACAATGAAAAAAATGAAATGACATACAACTACAATCATATATGTTAAGAGTGCGTCTGTGTTTTGCTCTGCCTTCTTCAACTCATACAAATTAATTATTAAAAAAAACAATCATATATGTTATTTGAACTTGTTCACGTAATATTACATTATTAAACTCTTACCAATAAACCGATACCTCTTATTATTTATCTTCAATTCAAATAACATGATAAATTTTATTAATAAGGCCTACTTATTATTTATCTTGAATTGAAGAGGAAATGGATGAATAGACTTTAATATTTAGTATTGTTTAAGCAAAACTTCTTTGATAACTCTGTCGAAGTTCATGTAAGAACAGCCACCTGGACTAGTGTTCTCCTCTGCCTTCTTTTTCATCTCCATGACTTTTTTCTTCATCTTTTTCCCTTTATCTCCCAACATCAATTCACTGATCAACCTCTCCACATCCTCTCTCTTCACATTAGAATCGATTTCCATTCCAATCTCCCATTCATTATAAATAAATCTACAGTTTGTTGGCTGATCAGCAAAAAATGGCCAACACAACATTGGCACTCCAGCACATATACTTTCAGTGGTCGAGTTCCATCCGCAATGAGTCAAGAATCCACCAACTGAAGGATGGTTCAACACTTGCTCTTGTGGACACCAACTCGCAATTAGACCTCTATCTGAAATTTCATTGACAAACTCAAATGACAAAACCACTGAGCCACCAATGACAAGATCAGGCCTAATGATCCACAAAAATGGTTTCTTGCTGTTGGCCAAACCCCAAGCAAACTCCAACAATTGTTCTGGACTCATAACTGTAACGCTTCCAAAATTCACATAAACAACAGACTCAGGTTCCTTTGATTCAAGCCAATCCAGACACTTGGTATCTTCTTTCCAAAGATTAGAACCTAAAGATGCCAAGTGATTATGCCCATATTGATCTAATAATGAAGATAAAGGTCCAATAGTATAGAGAGAAGGAAACATAGAATAGAGAGAATTCATTACATCACTCTCGAGCTCATTATAAGTGTTAAAAGCAATTGCAGATGCTTTACGAACTTTATCTGCTACATCGATACCAAATTCTAACATGATATCATTTCGATTTGTTGTCTGGATAAAGTCGGGGAGATCCTTTAGTCGAATATTGTGTAATCCTGGAATACAATCTACTTTGGTGTCTAAATATCCATTTGTCTTATAACTTTCATCTGTTTGTAATAATTAGAGAAGTCAACAGCTTAAAGCTTTATAAACAAATATATTTATTAAAGCAGAAGGAAAGATCATAAATAATTACCTTTGAGTGGTATTAAGCCTTCCTCAATCAATGTAGGGACATGCAAAGTGATTAATAAGGTACAAGCACTTGGTGGGAAAAAGAGAAGGATTGGGAGTGCATGTTGTTCAGCAGCTTGTATGGTAAATGACATGTAACAATCAGAAACTATGCATGTAACTGGTGGAACAAGACCAGCAATGGAAGAGTCATGAAGTCTAGCAAGAAGTTCACAAAAGTGTTGATATATATTCTTTCTGATTGATTGACAAAGAGAAGGTATGTCTTGACTAACATCAACATCATCACCATCCATTGGAGTTAAACCATCTGGAATAGTCTCAAAGTTAAAGTCAGTGAAACCATCAAGAGAATTAGGACCCTTTGATTTAAGCAAACGTTTATGGTTGTATTCGGTGTTGACAAAGGTTATGTGAAAGCCTCTAAGGTGAAGTAGTTTTGCTAGTTTCAACATTGGATTTATATGGCCTTGAAGTGGAAATGGAATTAAGATAGCATGAGGTTTTTTCTCTGCAGAATAACTCATATCTTTTTTGTGAGACAGCTACAAAGAAAAGAAAAAAAGAAAGAGAAAGTCAATGTGAAATCTCAATCTTGGAGTAGGGAATTTGAGATCTCGATCCATATATAAATAATATTGGATTAATTATACTCTATACCATGTGCCACGATGTGGTTTTGATGGGATTCTATATGATTTAAAGATTAAAATTACAAGCACTGAATCTATATATAACATTGTTAAATTAAATATTGCTTGTACTTTATAGGTATGAGTTTGTGGTGATATTAACTATTTTTTCAGACAGAAAAGAATCTACTTATATGTAATTTGGTTCGGTTTAATTGGATTCTTTTAAATTACTAATATTATTAAATCTAATTAAAATGCTTAGTCAATTTTCCGTTAATTAAATTTTAAATTTTAACTAATCCTATAATATTATAAAGCCACCATAGTTTTTTCCTCATTTGTTTAAGGACATTGCTTAATCAAAAGCTTTCAACGATAACCCAAATGAGTGTTGACAGATTTAGTATCTTGCATAAACCGCTTTGCCACTTTCTTCAAGTAACTAGATTTATAAGAACAATTTACTCTCCATGTGTTTTATCATGTTATCCATCCTTATGATCCTCTTAGTTTGACCATGATCTTTCATCTCAAATTCTTCATTTATAGAGTCTCCTTGAGATTACTTATCTATTTCTAGCTAGAACTCACAATTAAGATATCATCAACATACATAATAATATACTGAATGAATTTCTCACTCCTTTCCAATATGTATACACAACTCTCATATATGCTTCTAACAAACTGAAGCTTAAGAACGATTATATCTAACTGGTGATATCATTTCCTTAGGCTTTGTTTCAACCTATATAAATATTTCTTCAACATTCATACCTTAGACTTGTCTTCTACAAAACCCTCTAGTTTTTTCATGTAAATTGTCTCTTTAAGTTCTCATTGTAAACAATTTATTTTGCTTCCAACTGTTCCAGCTCAAGATCATATTGATTCACAATTTTCATAAGTGCCATTTTAAAACAATGTTTCACCACATGTGAAAATGTTTTATGGTAATCAATCCCCTCTACCTGAATAAAACCCTTTAATACAAGCCTTACCTGAAACCTTAGTTCTTAAGTACCTAGAATACCATCCTTATTCCTGAATACGATTCTTCATCAGTGAATATATCTCATCATTCAACACCTTCAACCATCTTTGATTATATTTGCTTTCAAATACTTGTCTAAAGATCTTTGATTCTAAGTCTTGCAACCCTTTATCCATATCCTAATCATAAAAAAATTATTAGCATAACTCTACCTTTGAGGTGGTATAATCTCCTTCCAAACTCTATCCACCTAATAATTAGGAGCCATTATAGGTTTCTTTTCAATAGAACTAGAAATAGGAGTCGCATTTTCCTCCTTTTCTGTAGTCTCACTAATATGAACCTCTAATTAAAATTGAGTCTTATTCACCATAATTTATAATTCTTTCACTTTCAAGTCTTTTTACTTCATCCACATAGGAGTCTCATAAAAAGTAGATTCTTGCATATGATAAATTTTGATCCTATATGTTACACCTTTCACAACTTGTAACCTTTCACACGTTCAAAGAAACCAATAAATACATACTTCAACTTGTGGATGATCATAGTTTGTCCTTCTCTAGGGAGAGTTTCATAGCACGAAGTCCCTTTGTTATACGAAGTTTGTTGTAGACGATCTCCTAGAATTAATTTCTACATCAAAAAATATCAAGTATATGTATACTAACTAAGTATTTTTATACTAACTAAGAGCCTAATTTAAAACTCCATCCCATGCTAGAGAAAATAGTGCATCTTAACTACTTTATAAATTGAACATATTATGTATGAGAGTTACTTAAATAAAATCATTGTGGCCTCATTAAAATCCCTTGGAGGAGAAAAGAGCGACATGCTTATACATTAATAAAAATAAATTAATTGACATAGAAATGAAGGTTGGTCGAGTTACATATTATAGGTAGCTCTTCTCTCTGTAGAACTTATAACCTGTATACAGACTTGGATCATCTAATTCATTTTTCTCTCCTCCTCTTCCCTAATTCTCTATCTCTTTCTCTCTTAATTTTGGGAACTTGGCTCTTTCTTTATAAGAGCTTTTATAGTTAAGACATAGTTTTCCTCATTTATCTGACCCATGAGATACTTTAGGACGAGTTCCTCTTCTTCCATCTCTTAGGGTTTGACTTTGGAGTTGTACTTCTGTAAAACTTGGGTTTTGTTTGCATATTATTTGATGTGTCTCATTGTTTCTTATTGAAAGCTTGTTTCTTTCTTCCCTTGTGTGTTATCCACGTCATCTAGGGGGTTGACTTCCATCATGATCATTGTGTCCTGGCCATAGACCAACTTTAAAAGTGCTTCGTATATTTTCGAGTATGATATGTCCATAGTAATTGGTGCAACTATTTAACCCACTATATTTTTGTTTCTTCATACTTCTTAATTATTGAAATCTTTAATAATTCAAGGTGCAACTATTTAACCCACTATATTTTTGTTTCTTCATACTTCTTAATTATTGAAATCTTTAATAATTCAAATGTATCATAGAAGTTTCTGGGATAGTTTCGTCGAAAACAATTTATTAAAAAAATATTTCTGAAAATTTAGAAATTCAAAATTTCGAAGAGGAAATCGATTACCTAGTTAGGGAAAATTGATTTCCATGTGTAGTTTCTATTTTCCATTTCTGTTTTGAGTTGAGGAAATCGTTTACCCCTTTTGGGAAATCGATTTCCTCCCTGTGTTTTGTGCTTTTTAGTTGTTTTTTGGGCCTGTTTTGATTCCAACGTGTTTTTCTAGTATCCTATATATACTCCCTCATTATAATGTGTTTAAAAAATAATTCCATAATAACATTTCTCCTCAATTAATCTCTCTCTCTTAATATATCCAAAATTCACATTCACTTCATCTTCTCCAACTAACCACATTTCACCATTGATTCACCATACAAGTTTGTGCTTGTTTCAACATTTCGCATCAAGAGCCTTGGTTCTTATCTATTAATCTGCTGCAAACATGACTACCGTTTCCAATGATCGAGTCCCTACCAATCTTCCAACCCTTGATTCAAAGAACTATGACAAATGGTGCAAACAAATGAAAGTTTTGTTTGACTATCAAGATATTCTTGAAGTGGTTAATGATGGTGTTACACCACTTGGGGCAGAAACTATAGAGGCTCAGAAGGCTGCATTTAAGAAAGAGAAGAAGAAATACTACAACGCACTCTTCTTGATACATTCTTGTGTCAATAATGACAACTTCGAAAAGGTTACCAATTGCGACTCGGCGAAGCAAGCATGGAAGACTTGAAGAAAGCTTATGAAGGGGCTGATAAAGCAAAGGTGGTGAGGTTACAAACTCACAATCAATAGTTTGAATTGGTGCAAATGAAAGAGAAGGAGTCAATCAATGATTACGTAACCCGTATAACGCATTTGGTGAACCAAATGAAATCTTACGGTGAAACTGTTTCGAAGCATAATGTTGTATCAAAGATCTTACGTTCTTTAACGTCAAGATTTGATAACATTGTGGTTGAAATTGAAGAATCGAAGGAACTTCCTACATTGATAAACGAGTAGCTTCAAAGTTCATTTTAGGCTCATGAATAAAGGATGGATGAAAAGGGAGATGACCAAGCTAAAGTAGATATTGTGTTGCAAGCACGGTTCACGATAAGAGTAAAAGATCGAAAGGAAAATGGTCTTCGAAGGGGAAGACAAATTTCCAGAATTTTGAGGAAAAAGATTAACAAAATTCAAAGGCTTCAACAGGGAAAAGAGGTGAGAGATGCTCCAAAGGTATTGATCAAAGCAACTATACCAAGAAGTTTGACAAGAGTAATGTGAAGTGCTACAATTGTCATAGACCTGTCCATTTCACAAAGGAATGTAACGTGAAATCAAGGGAAAATCAAAGCGGTGAAGATAAGGTTGCTCGATAGGAGGTGGATGATGATAATACGCTTTTGGTCATGATTATAGAGGATAATTATGGCAAGAAAAATCTACTAGCCAACAGCTGCAAGTTGTTGGACAGTAGTGGCAGCAACTCGAAAAATGTTATAGAAATGCGTTCGGAGCAAAACATAATGTTTAAGATGCAATCCAAGGAAGTGATTAGTGGAACTTGGGCTCTAGTTGTTCAATGCATATGACGGTTAGAAAGGATTGGTTTGTCAAAATAAATCAAGCCACTAACAATAAAGTGAAATTTGCAGATGACACCACTTTAGCAGTCGACAGAGTCAGTGATATTTTGATCATGAAAAAGGACAGGGGTAATTCCTTGATAAAATATGTGTTATACATTCATGGAATTAAATTTAATCTCTTGAATATTGGCCAATTACTTGAGAAGAATTACATGATTTTCATAAAACACAATATTTTGCGCGTTTTGGATCCAAATGGAGTTTTAGTCCTTAAAGCACTCATGGCTGCCAATCGGACTTTCAAGATACAGTTGAAAGTGATGGAACATATGTGTCTTGCTACAAAGGAAAGTCTTGATGAGTAGTTGTGGCACTACCGTCTTGGACATCTCAATTTTTGTAACTTGGACGTGTTTCAAAGGAATGGTATGGTAACCGGGTGTAATTTAATAATGCACCTAAGAGGGGGGGTGAATTAGGTGATGGTCAATTTTTGCCTTCTCTTTTAAAGTTCTTATTTTTCTGATTATGACAATGAAAACAATAAAATACGGAAAGTAAATGAACACCAGATATATACGGGTTCCCCTCACAGATCAAGAGTACTTCAGTCTTCTTGCCAACGCAGAAGATTTAGTATAGTTTAGAATGATTGTACAAGCCTAATCACACCAAAGGTGATGCCTTACTATCTAATCTATAGGGATATTAAAGGCTCTTAAATCCTTTAAGATCTTAAACACTAAGTGCAAGAAGAACAATCTTCTTCAATGCACACACTTGCTCTAA